CTTATTTTACGACTTACGCCGATTCGATATACTTAGGGTGGAAGGAATACAATGGAATTTCACTCGAAAAATACTTTAGACAGACTCACTCATTGGCTACAGTTCACGATACTATATCATAGAAAAAGAACCCCTATGGAAAAGGCTCAGGACCATTTTAGTCCTTAACTTCTGGCTCTTCAAAAATCTTACTCTACTACTTGTTGAATTTTACTCAAAGAAATAGTGTTTTCCAACAGTATGTGAAACACAGAGAATCGTGTGAGGTATATTGTTTATCTGAAAATAAGCCTACTGTCACAAAAAGAGGGACGATGGACTTACTGACCAGCAAGTAGTGATGGTGAGGGCGATGACTTCAATCCACCCACGTTTGTGGGTGGAACAGTTTGTTTGTATCAGGCTCTTGTAACTTTGGATGAGACAACAGTTCTTTAATACCGAGGTTGTTCTTTTACGTTCACCATTCAGGTTTATGTTTCCAATTATATGTTGGATTAGCCATTCTTCTTGTAGAATTATGGTCTACTTCGTTATTAGTACAGTTCTAATAATAGACTTAATCATAAAATTGTAGATTTGTCATGATGTAACTGCCTAATCTATAAGAGCTTAAGTGGAAGTCACATTATTATCTACACCTACTCATCGCGTCGTGACAACCATCAATATATGGTGAAGAACACATTTAGACTAGAGATAGAAAAATATATTTAGTATGAATAGAAGGTGTATAACAACATTCAAGGAAACTCACGCCTGAAAGGTCGAGCCATCCCATCCGATCAATTTCAATTAACTGAATTCCTTCTTCCCGCTTTCTCCATTGTTGGGTTGGTTCAGCGTTAAATGTTGAATATTTATTTTCCCAGTCGTCTCGTGTTCAGCTTTGGGGATTGTGTGATAAAGACCCAATGCCACTACATACTAAGACAACCTATGACATGCTAACTAGGACTTTTACACTAGGGGCTAGTGTCTGTCATTGGATGAAAAAATGTATAGTTATTAGCGTTTCTCAACACTGTACTCTCTTGATGCACTTTCTGCTCTTAAAAACAGCATTGCTTATTGCAATTTCGGCTTCGTTCCCATCGTATGAACTCACTCCACTCTGTTACATATCACAAATCATTATTCTTTACTACTGCATTATCTTAACTGAAGGTTCTTACCACACTGCACTCTAATAATAGCAGTTATTATGAGTGTGATCTACTAATTTATCATTCCTTTGTCTGTCCCACTACAAAATGTTAAAAATTGTTAAAGATTTATATCCAGGTGCCTTGTTGCCGATTTATGTCTCTTTTTCAGCATCACCCTCAGGTCATAGCTATGGAGCGTCGTAGATTTGAAACAAACTTGTTGTGCTCGTTTTTTCAATGTCGCAGCTCTTACCAAGCTCTCTTTAAATTTGCTCTATAACAAATATGCATTAAAAAGTTTTATTGCATAACTACTTAGTATGACCAAAGTTCTAAAACAATAAAGCTAGGTTTGAACCCAATATACAACGTGTACGCGACGCCATTTTGGGAATATATCTTAAAAAACTGCGCTCTGTGCAGTACGAAAACATAAACCTAATCATTAATACTCTGGAACATCTGCACGAATATGTTGTTTTTTATTTTTATTGATTTTACTTATTTAACAACCTTATTCAGGAAGCATACTGTTGATTGATGACATGAGTTTTCAACAACTATCTAAAGAGGCGGAAAACTTACTAAAATCAAGATTCCATCAGAAGTTTGGGGAAAACCTCGTAGTAGTAAATAAATCCCCCAAAAAAATAGTTCTGTAAGTTTTCGACAATGGGTGCTGACCACATTAGTTTTAACGGAATCCCCTGGCCGAAGGCTCTTGGCCATGTAGTTGCACCAGATCACGAGTGGGAACACCGTGATTAACATCCTTTGTAATCGCTAGCCAATCTAGATTAGTCGATCCTCGATATATTGATAGCCTGGTGAATATATCTTCACACCTCCTCGCTTCTGTCTTTCGATTTCACTTGGTGAGTACGATTCATATTAGGTGTTACTGATTAAAGCGTTGTCAAACTCCAAATACCTGTGGCGTCTTCATTGGTGAGCCCAACGTGATCTGGTACACCAACTTGCAAACTGTGAATCTGTTCCATTTTTGGGATTTTATATATCACTGCTTTATTTTAATTTTTATGTATTGTAGTGTAGTGTTTCCATGTTTTTGGATACATATTTTCCCCGTTCATTCTTGTGCTTGATATTTCGCCATGACACCTAAGGTACTCAAGCTAAAGACTATGGCCCATCTTCGTTTCAATTGATGCCTTTCCAACCAGACATCGAAGCCTGGTTCTGCTACGCAGAGGGCAACTTCTACGAGCACGACGTAAACGACATACGTGCACAATTCCTCGCAGTAGTCAAGGCACTACCGCGCGAATTCAACAGGTACGTGACGCCTAGTGTGTTTACTAGTGATGTTTCGGAACCTTACGAGACAACGAAACGATCTATCCGCAAACGCGTAGACCTAATCGATCGACAAAGGTTAGATCAATACCTAATAATATTGGCCTGCAACACGGTCCTGAGACAAACATGGTGCTATTACAAGCAAACTAGATAATTCGATAATATACGACGCCTACTCATGACCCTATGATACTTAAAAAAATAATAATAATACAAAAAAAAGATGAAAAGGGCTCCAACAACTTCGATAAAAAAGGAAGATAGTCAATTGTATATCACAATACTGTTTTTAGCACTATATTTTATGACCACACATAATCTCATACTTTCAGCTCCTTTCTGAATCCCCTCCATTTGTCAGTTGTACGTCCACCCATACTTTGTTTACACTTATTTTATTTAACCTATTAAAACGCTGTTGCTTAACAAATACCTTAATAAAGGAAAATTAGAATGAGTAATCATACCTTAAACATTCCTTTATGAATATTGATTACTCTGCCTCTCGTGTTTTTTTTACATGCTCCTTCTTTCAGCCCCCTTGAGATATGGAACTGGTGACTTCATCCTGCACCATCCTTAAAGCCTTAGATATTCCAAAGGGACATATGGTTGCGACTTCTAGAAGCTTCCACCTTCAATGGACCTATCCTTGACCATCAGTTGCACATTCGCAACGCAACTTTCATGAAGCGCGCCAACAGTGATACTGACCAAAACCATCTACATTCATATCTCTTAAATTATCAACCCGGCTGAGTAATTTACTACAGTGGATATTGTAACGTTTGTAAAAAATTTGATCTTGCATGTAAACTGGCATGCCTCATGTAACAAACTGTTATTTGAGAATAAATGATTATCATTATTATTATTAAAATAATGAGAGGTGATTAACCAAATAACCTTCGATAATGGCCTATTCAGACAATGTTTCTTATCTAAACTTTCTCAATAGGTACAAGCTGTGTTGATGTCGTTTCAAAACAACGCCGTAGACAAGCTGGCTACATCTTAAAAAATCACCAAATCTTCTAACAACGGGGTTTTTCAAAGAAAAGCTTCAAGCGACACAGAATAATGTCATACGCCGACCCGTTACCTTCGACCTCGTAATAACCGTAAACGGCCACATGCCCCACGAAGAAGCACTCCATGTAAGCACGCTGTCTCTCGTGGTCGATAACTCCGACTGGTGCTGGTATGAAATCCATGACGGAAAATCTTATAGAAATTGCAGAAAACCCTGTATTTTTCAAACTCAAAATCGATCGACACGAAAAACAGTTCGGGAAGCTTCCCAGCGGGCACGCATTAACGGCAACCCTAGCCGGCGAACATAGCCGTCTGTTATACGTCGCAGATGTGATAACAAAAGTCCGCTACCTCGTCGATACTGTCACATAAGTTAGCGTTCTTCCCAGCGAATTCCAACGACCGGCTCCATGAATCGGTTTTAAATCTATAGGCAGCAAACGGAAAGCCAATCGCCACATATGATAAATGGTACGTTTACCTTAACGTGGGTTTATGCAAACCCATACACTGGATTTTCGTTGTTGCAGATGTTTCTATGTCAACCATTGACATATACCTGCTACAATATCACAATCTACTCATCGATACGCACAAACGGAGACTAGTAGACGGAAACACTAATTTATCTGTTTGTGTATTTTCTTTTTCCGATTGCAAATTATCTTCTGTCACAGTTGGACACACGCTGCGGTTGGTATGTTCAAGAATACTAATCAAGTAATTGTTGATAGAATGGATCTATCGTGTTGTCAACCAACAGTTAAAGCGGATATTGTCGATTTCCACTTCAATATGTGTAGGCTTATTCATACGAACCCATGCCCTTAAATAAGCACTCATATAGGTCAACACATCGGGTGAACGAAGTCCTAATTACCATATAGCAACGACGGACTCCCCCCGCCAGCCGAAAATTTGAATATTTCGCCGTAGCGCTTTGATTTGGGTTATTGTTGGGAGTTAAGCAACGCTTATGTCGTAAAGATGTAACGTATGCTTCTAAAAGATTTAGAATTCGTCGTGTCATTGTAAAAATACGAATCTATCAATAAAATAAAAGGTTGGTTTCCAAAACCTAATTAAATTACAGAAAATTATCAGTTGGAATACATGTAGCACGGATTTTGGTATATTCATCATGCTACTTTGTTTGCTGATCTTATTTTCCCAGATCATGCTGTCAGATTTCAAAGACCATCTCGATGTTACAATGAGTGAGTTCTAGATAATGTTGCCGAAATCACGGCAATTTAAATTTAAGTAAAAAGACGAAACAATGAGATGCCATAGAATCTTTGTTCATAAAAAGTTACAGAAGTAAAGTAGTACGGGATTTCATTTATAGTTACTTTTAAAATAAAATAAACAGTCTGGAAAAGGATTCAAACTCGACCGAAAATCAACATCCCATTTCCCTCAAGCTCACTGGCGCGCCTATTTGACTACCAAAACATCTGACTTCGCTGGATTTTATTATGGTCTTGGTTGTTACTGATGCCTAGGAAGAAATCATTAAAGCTCAATAACACTGGGTGTATATTTTGTTCTGAAGTTGATGATTATCCACTATTAGGACCTATTATTGAGAAAAATGGTTTCAAAGTGCATACAAATTGTATAGTAAGTTCAAATTTGTGAAATACTCTACTCTTGAAGTTTGCCGCCAGCGGTTTATCTCAGACGAACAATGAGAATGAATCCCCGGACGATTTCATAGTTGGATTCGCTGTTTCTTCAATTCTCAATGAACTTAGACGCGGTCGTAGCTTAAAGTGTTCGGTATGTCGTCTCCCCGGAGCATGTGTTGGATGTGTTGTTAACACTTGTCACACCACCTTCCATCTTCCATGTTTAATTAAAGCTCAAGGGATAACGATATTTGAAGGCAACTTTCCTTCCTACTGCCGCCGCCATGCCAACAGACAGGTATGTTTACACCTAAATATTTTGTACTCATTCTTTGAGCTGTATCAAGATCAGAATAATCTAATAGGTCATAGCTACTTGTGTTTTCTATTCGTCGGCAGGCCCAATTATTATTTTGTGTTCCGGATCTAAGTATTTAAGTAATGCAGTCGTACTCCAAAAGGATGTACAACTAAATGCCTAGTGGTTCAAGTGATATTTTTCTTGCATTTGTAAATGAAAGTGGAATAAAGTTTAATATGGTAAACGTAAAGGATCATAGTTATCATGCAGGAGAAATGTTGTACGGCATCTTCACTATCCCGAGCTCCCAATTTTGGGGAAAATTTGACCCATTTTGGGGAAGCCGCTATAGTGAACTTTGGGGAAATAACACAAAAACCCCAATATTTCCCCAAAATTCCCCTTTAACCTTGGTCAAGGTCGTTCGACCCTGGGGATTTCCCCAAACTTGGGAGCTCGGGTATTTACCTGCTAAGTAATGCACAATAAAGCTTCCTAATCCTTTGATACTATCTTCCGATTGTTACATTTCGAAAATCCTAGTTACAGAAATCATAAGTCGAATTCAAGAGGTTTCGTTAACATCTAATTTCTATATAACATATTTCGACCTAATAATAGCTCTCTTTAAAGCAGCTTCGGCATCAGATTGGACAGATTTCTGTACTTGAAGGTCATTATTGGGCTATTCTATTTTATTAATTACATTTAGTTTTTCTATCTTCTCTTTAACAGATGGTAATTAGTGTCATTCATTTTAATTGTCATCATGGATTAGAATGTTAGCCTCATTAGTTCATAAACATGCTTGATTGTTTGTGTACTTTGATAAGTTGAATTCAAATATCCTACATTATCCCCTTAGCTTAGATGATATGTAATAAATAGTACGATTATTTGCTTATTTGGCAGTCTTAAAATCATTCTCCAAAGCAAACAACTACTCATCTCTTGTATGAGGGGAAGCCGAATATTTCCTCACTGAATGTTTACGTATTGTGTTAGACAATAAGAAAATGAAATAAAACGTTCCTTTGGACTCATCTAATACAAATGTAGTGTATGGTTGTTTTGATTTAGAATTTAGATGGCTGGTTGACGCAATGCAAGGAACCTCCCTCTTGTTGTATCTGTCTGTTCTCAATTGTACCAGACAAAGATTTCGAAAGTAGTTGTCTGCCCATAAAAAGACAAAAGTCTGTACCCATTCATTCTTCGGCAGCAAAAGAAAATGTTCCAGTCCTCAACGAAACCAGGCGTACAAGACGGTCTTGTGTGGCTCCTTCAACTCCTAAACGAATTACTGTTTCAAACGGGATGTCTTCTGTTAAGAGAAGATATTCTCAATCAGAGCAAGTTTTATTTTAATGTTTTCATAATAAAGAAATAGGAAATTATCACATGTTAAATACTGTCACAAAACCGGTGAATATACAACATATTGTCACTTTTTACTGACAGCTCTTTCTCAATAGAATCATCTGTTAGGTCATAGTGTTTGAATGAGTTGTTCAACACTAAAAAAAACCATTCTTATTTCGATTGTCCAAGTTTCTAAATCACCTGTCCAACGGTCAGATTTAATTTGATAAAAATTTTAGTAGGACTGCAAATGGTTTCTAACTTTGATCTTAATTTTAGCTTAGAAACTCTTCATCATTGTACAAAGTTTTGTGTCAGAGAAAACTCGTCTTATCAACAAAAATTCATTAGGCCGTAGTAATAAATCTGACATGTTCAAGATATTTTCTAATTTCAACTGAAAGCGTTTGACGCTCGGTGATGGCTAATGCAAGGGTAGGTTAGTTGAAAGTTAAGAGTGGCCAAACCAAGACATGGCATCAGTCTGTAAAGACACTGACTACTGGACTGAGCCATGCAAGTAGGTGCAGACCATACTTAGTTGGGTTAGCGTAATTATTGTCAAAGACTTTGGGCGACATGGTTCCAAAATGTTCGTAGTGGTATAGGTGCATTCCCTCTTTATCTCCCCTTGAATTCCAAGTTTCTAGATGCTTTATCGTTTTCTATCGTACTAATTTATACTTCTTGAATTATACCTTGAATGTCTCACTTTCAATTTCCGCTAATGCTGTTACTACCTCTGCTACTCTGAGATTTTCCCTGGCAATTTCATCTCTCTGTGCCGATAGGGTATGGCAACTTGGACCGATGTACACGTGTGCCACGCTCTACGTTCGGCATGAGTGAATGACTAACTTAAAGCGTCTATGGAAGTTTGGAAAGATATTATTCTAGACAATACTACTGGTGGTACAAAAGTTCAATAATTATTTTGTATGATTGTTTCATCATAGAGTTGACTTACTGAAATTTTTACTGCAAAAAATACTTTTTTCGCTTTTTGGAACTCAGAACAACTACGAAATTGGTGCTAAGTTTATCAAGGTTCATGAGTGACCGTGCTCTGCGTTTGTTAGTAACCAATCACATCAATTTTTAATTTATCTTCGCCGACTATAGTTAGCCCAGACTATTAATTACAGGTTGACTTTGTGTTGAAAGTGTGATTGTAATATAATCATGCGCTCTGCCAATATTTAGCAACTCCAGCTTCAATATGGTGAACGAGACTACTGCTACTCTCTTGTTTCTTGCTCCACTACCTAGATTAAGAAGTCCAGTTGTATAAAAGCTTTGTTGATCAAGAGCCGGTAGAATTCAAAATGCGTTTAAGATAACTAGTTTTATATCGATTACAATGTTTATATTTTAGGAAGTGAGTAAGCTGTCAATGAACACAAATGGTAGTAAAAAATACATTAAACGTCCATGAGCAGAATTCACACTGAATAAATTCATGTAATGAAAACCCATCTTAATTCGACAATAATTTTCTTCTTAAGCTGTATTTGGGGATTCGACATCGCCAACAGTGTGTTAATGAATTCAATTTGTGTGATTCAAGTTGTAAATTCGCATTTGTTATAAAATTGTACATGTCCACAATTGATGGTTTAAAACTTCATAAGAGTCTATCGAGTCGGAAATTATCTAAATGAATAAATAACTATTCCCACGTTAGCTTATCGGCTTTGTGGGATTATTAAGTCACTACTAATTTTCCACTGGAAACAAGGTTATAAACAGGGTACTGGTTATAGTGGATATATGTCGAAAACAAATCTCTCTTTATTAGGAGGGTAAACCAGCAATATGATTTTAAAATCCGTACCTATTCATACAATCGCGGTTCCAAGTATGCTATTCAAATAAATACTGTTGCACTCAGAGTGATCTCTAGCAAATATAGTATTCGTTTTTTGAAAGTAAATCCGTACTTATTGTGGAAAGTGACTTCAGAGCAGAGTACACCAATCTATACTTCATTAGTAAGTTATGTCTTCATTAAACCAGACTTCATCAGTGCATCTCACTTTCTATCAATGTGTCTCGTAAAACAGATATACCAACTAACATGCGGATTCACATTTTATCGGATGGATGGCATATTATTACAGACATGCGTTCTCTAAATATTGCAGATGAATCCCCCATGCGCACTCGTTTTTCATTTCTATTGACTCCGTTTATTGAGTTTCCACTGTATGATGAAGCTTTTATCTTGCACCGTTCTCATCCTTTAGTACATCTACTTGGGAGTTACCCGGTTCTTCCTCTTCGGAGCCCGAAGAACAAAATCCTGTTCAACAACATAAAACACCCAAAGAATCTGTTACACTACCTTCATCAATGTCACATATTCCTGGGTGGTTGACTGACTACTTTCTGAGTCTTGCTCCTGAAAAGAGGCTTCCTGTCTTTGAGGCATGGAAACACCACACTATCCATGGGCTCTGTTGTCCTTTATCGTGGATGCATAGAAATTGTATTGCAGGTTTTGCTGTTTCTGCTGCATTACATTACCTAAAATGCCCTTACTGTGCAAATAGAGAAATATTCATCAGGTCCATCATCGATACTGGTATATGGGTCCCAGATCAGTAAGTCATAGTATTATGTCCTTTTTTGTTTATCTAACTCTAGATTTTGTACTTACTTGATAGTGATATCTGTATACAAACCTTTAGATACGTTTTTCAAGGTTACTGTAAATAATATCCGGTTTCAAGTCGCTTATTCACACATGATTTAGTTAACAAATCTGATTTCAAATAGCGAATTTGTAACAAAATATGACTGATGTTCATCTAAAATTCCATGAATATTGAGGATTTAGTGGCTACACCTTGTTTTTTTATACTAACGGTTTAGGAGTGCAGTTAAGCTGTGAGCAGCGAGATTGACTGAGGTCTTAGGTAGAATCTGGGAACTGAACGTAATCCCATCTGACTGGTCTCAATCACTGATTGTGCCAGTCTATAAAAAAGGACAAAAGTCCTCTTGTGACAATCACAGAGGAATCAGTTTGACTAATATAGTGTCTAAAATATTAGCTTCAATAATACTTCGACGCCTAACTAAAGCTCGTGAAGAGCAGACTAGAGAAAACCAGGCTGGTTTTCGACCTGGACGTGGTTATATAGACCAGATATTCACACTACGTCAGGTTCTAGAACATAGACACACACTCAGACGCCCCACAATCGTAGTATTTCTCGATCTTGAAGCGGCATTTGACTCTGTTGATCGTAAGGTTCTATGGCAGTGTTTGTCATTGAAAGGAGTACCAAAGAAGTACATTAACCTTATAAAGGCTCTCTACTCGAACACAACTGGTAGAGTGAGAGCTTATGGCGAACTGTCATCAGAATTGATTACCTCGAGTGGTGTTCGTCAGGGTTGTCCACTCTCTCCATTCTTGTTTAACTTTATCGTAGACATGCTTTTCGAGATAACACTTTCCTCATCTGAATTTCCAAGGGTTGAAATTCTACCGGGAGATCCACTTGTTGACTTAGAATATGCCGATGACATAGTTCTATTTGGTGAAGACGCTGACAAAATGCAGAGTATTCTGACCACTCTAAGCAACAATGCAAGCATATTCGGGATGCGATTCTTCCCCTCGAAATGCAAAATGTTCCTTCAGGATTGGGTTGCATCGACACCCGAACCACTGATAGGGAGTGAAGTAGTCGAGCGTGTCGACCGCTTCACTTATCTTGTGGAAGTCTTATCAGCCCTTGTGGTCTGGTGTGTGTGACGAAATCTCAGCACGGGTACAGAAGGCTCGACTAGCTTTTGCCAACTTGCGTCCCAGATCTTAGCTAAAATATTAGTCAACCAATTTTAGCGATTAGGTTGACTAATATTTTAGCTAAGATCTGGGAGTTAGACGTTATTCCATCTGACTGGTCACAATCACTTATCGTCCCAATATATAAGAGAGGGTTAAAATCATCCTGTGACAACCATAGAGGGATTAGTTTAACTAATATAGTATCTAAAATACTAGCCTCGATAATTATCAGACGCCTAACTAAGACTCGTGAACTGCAAACACGAGAGAATCAAGCTGGCTTCAGACCTGGTCGTGGCCGCATCAACCACATATTCACCATTCGTTAGGTTCTAGAACACAGGCATACTTATCGACGTCCGACAATGGTGGTCTTTCTTGACCTAGAAGCAGCATTTGACTCGGTAGACCGCGAGATTCTGTGGCAGTGTCACACCGATTACCACAACGTGCAATGCTATCCGGTATTGGAAATGGTTGGAAGAAAGTTAGGGGCGGCCAAACCAAAACGTGGCATCAGTGCTTGAAGTCACTAACTTCTAGTCTGAACCATGTTGGTAGATGCAGACTACTTGGGTGGGGTCCGCGTGACTATCGTAACCAATGGTTGGAGACTGTGTGTGACATGGCTCAGAATCGATCACAATGGCGTCGGTGTATACACTCCCTGTCTTCCCTTAAACTAAGAGATTAAAATCACTTCATATCTTTCTTTCTACGAACCATTTCTTTCTTCTTGTACTATATCTCTATATGCAATCTTTCTCTTATATATTACTACCTTTGACCTAACCACTGCCATGAATCCGGTGTTCATCTTGTTGTGCTGATGCGGTATGGCAACCTGGACCGATGCACATATGTGCCTTGGTCCTACGTTGTAGCTGACTGACTGACTGACTGCAGTGTCATTGAAAGGCGTACCTCAGAAGTACATAAACCTTGTGAAGGCTCTTTACTCGAAAACTACTAGTCGAGTCAGAGCTTATGGCGAACTGTCATCTGTTTTTGCAACCTCAAGTGGTGTCCGTCAAGACTGTCCACTTTCTCCATTTTTGTTTAACTTCATCATAGACCTATTGATGGAAGTAACATTCTCATCTACTGGATTCTCGGGAGGTCCACTTATCGACTTAGAATACGCAGATGATATAGTCCTGTTTGGTGAAGACGCTGATAAAATGCAGTCTTTTGGTGGCATTAAGCAACAATGCCAGAATGTTTGGAATGCGTTTCTCTCCCTCTAAATGCAAGCTGCTGCTTCAGGACTGGTCTATGTCAACACCTGAACTAAGGATAGGGAGTAAAGTAGTCGAACGCGTTGATAACTTCACTTATCTTGGAAGTCTGATCAGCCCTAATGGGTTGGTGTCTGACGAAGTCTCAGCACGGATTCGGAAAGCTCGCTTGGCTTTTGCCAACTGCCGTCACCTATGACGAAAGCGAGATATCCGTCTATCAATAAAAGGACGGGTATACTGCGCGGAAGTCCGTTCTGTTTTTACGGCTGCGAAACATGACCATTAAGAGTAGAAGACACTCTTAAGCTACTAGTATTTGACGACAGATGCCTGTTGATGAGATTGTGAATCTTCATCGACTGAGATGGTTGGGCCACGTGTTACGTATGCCCGAACACCGATTACCACGACGTGCAATTCTAACCGGTGTTTGGGATGGTTGGAAGAAAGTTAGAGGCGGCCAAACCAAAACGTGGCATCAGAAGGCTTGACTAGCTTTTGTCAACTTGCGTCATTTATGGCGTAGGCGAGATATCCGTCTATCAACCAAAGGATAGATTTACTGCGCATCAGTTCGTTCCGTCCTACTTTATGGCAGTGAAAAATGGCTGGTAAGAGTAGAGGATATTCGTAGGTTACTAGTATTTGATCATAGGTGTCTTCGAAATATTGCTCGTATAGTGTGGTACCATCGAGTAAGTAATGCAGTTGTTAGGAAACGGGTACTAGGTAAGGATGGCAAATCCATTGATGAAATAGTGAAACTTCGTCAGTTGAGATGGCTGGGACACGTGTTACGTATGCCCAACCACCGACTGCCCCGACTTGCGATGTTTCATGATGTAAGAGTAGGTTGGAAGAAAGCTAGGGGCGGCCAGACCAAAACATGGCACAAGTCCATGAAGTCACTGACAAGTGGTCTGAGTCATGTCGGTAGGTGTAGACTACCTGGTTGGGAACGGCGAAACGATAGCAACCAATGTTTAGAAACCTTGAATGACATGGTTCAAAATCGTTTGCAATGGTGCAGGTGCATCCACTCTTTTTGCTCTCCCAAATTCTAATCCAATTTCCTTTTCAGGTTCATCAAGAAATACCCTTCCACGGTGTGGGCAGCCGGGAAGTGACATCAGCCCTCATACCCGTAACAGCACAAGAGACCGAGGTGGTCACATTCAAATCCTTCCTACACCTCCTAATACCTCTCTTATCCTCCCGACTAACCCTCCTCACGTCTCTTTATCATCTCGCACCGCTAGGGCAAACGATTCGAGTACGTGGAACGCTATTCCTGGTCTCCTGAAACCACGCTCTAAACTACATATAGGAGCTTTTAACGTACGAACACTTTGCCAAATAGGACAGCAGGCTTCCCTAGCTAAAACTTTAGAATCTCGCGCCATCGATGTGTGCTGCGTCTCCGAAACGCGCATACAGGATCCAAGTAGCGTCATTCATTTGACCTCACCATGCCAAAATAAAGAACCGACTCGATTTACGCTTCGTGTATCTGGAAGCCGTGATTCTGCTTCCCGTGGCCTCGCCGGCGTAGGTATAGCATTGAGTCCTAGGGCAGAACTAGCTCTCTTAGAGTGGATCCCAGTAAACAGTCGTTTGTGCGCTGTCCGACTGAACGGAACAGTAAGAATCCGGAAAGATAGGGACACTCGTCGTTGCCTCTTCGTCGTCTCTGCCTATTCTCCCACTGACTGCAGCTCAGATGATGTGAAAGATGAGTTTTACAGAAAGCTTTCGGACCTTCTCCGAAAAGCTAAGCGCTCGGATGTAGTAATAATGGCCGGTGACTTTAATGCTCAAGTAGGTAAACTAAGCGATAAGGAAAGACACCTAGGTGGATCCTATGGTGTCGTGGCTCAAAGAACAGATAATGGCGACCGTCTGTTGCAGCTATGCTCAGATAACCGCCTGTTCCTTGCAAATACTAACTTTAAGCATAAAGAAAAACATCTTTTAACATGGCGACCCCCTAATTCGTCCCAACGTTGGACCCAAATAGATCACATCGCTATCAGCCACCGATGGAGGGGCTCGATAGAAGACTGTCGCTCATTCTGGAGCACATGCCTAGATTCAGATCATGCTCTAGTGCGAGCGCGTATTTGCTTGCGTCTTACTGGACGTAGGAAAGATCCTGCAAGGAAACCTCCTAGGGCTCTACTTAATGATAGTCAAGCTAAGAATATATTTCAGGAACAACTAGGAAAACAGTTAGGCAGCCATGTATGTGATGCCCACCCCGAGGCAGCATGGAACGATATCCGAAAAGCTGTGGAAACAGCAGTGATATCTGCTAGTAAGGTAAACCGTAAAGTTAGGGAGCAACACTGGATCTCAGCAGCATCTATCGCACTGATAGATGCTCGGAAACTCATTCCACCTGGCTCTGAACATAATGAAGAGCGGAGTCAGCTTAAGCGCAAGCTGACAAGAAGTCTACGCAATGATCGCGAACAGTGGTGGGTAGCGAAAGCAAGAGAGATGGAAAAGGCAGCGGCAATAGGTAATAGCAGACAATTGTTTAGACTCGTTAAGGAAACCGGAATTAGGAACCCGACCGTTAGCGAAACAATCTCAGAGAAAGATGGACATATTATTCATTCTCAATCCAGGAGATTGGATCGATGGGCAGAACACTTTAGGGATCAGTTCAACTGGCCTTCAGCCACACTTCGGTTTCCCACGATCTCCAGTCAACCTGAATGGCAAGTTAATGTAAGTCCTCCGTCCCTTTACGAAGTTGAAAAAGCCATAGGAAATCTGAAACGAGGGAGAGCAGCAGGCCCTGACAGGTTTACTCCTGAGATTTTTAAGGATGGTGGTCCAGTATTAGCAATGAGATTAACTGAGGTCTTAGGTAGAATTTGGGAACTGGACGTAATCCCATCTGACTGGTCTCAATCACTGATTGTGCCAGTTTTTAAGAAAGGACAAAAGTCCTCTTGTGACAATCACAGAGGAATCAGTTTGACTAATATAGTGTCTAAAATATTAGCCTCAATAATACTTCGACGCCTAACTAAAGTTCGTGAAGAGCAGACTAGAGAAAACCAGGCTGGTTTTCGACCTGGACGTGGTTGTATCGATCAGATATTCACACTACGTCAGGTTCTAGAACAGAGACACACATTCAGACGCCCTACAATGGTAGTATTTCTCGACCTTAAGGCGGCATTCGACTCCGTTGATCGTGAGGTTCTATGGCAGTGTTTGTCACTGAAAGGAGTACCAAAGAAGTACATTAACCTTATAAAGGCTCTCTACTCGAACACAACTGGTAGAGTGAGAGCTTATGGCGAACTGTCATCAGAATTGATCACCTCAAGTGGTGTTCGTCAGGGCTGTCCACTCTCCCCATTCTTGTTCAACTTTGTTATTGACGTACTTTTAGAGATAACACTCACCTCATCTAAATTTCCAGGGGTTGAACTTCTACCAGGAGGTTCACTTGTTGACTTAGAATATGCAGATGACATAGTTTTATTTGGTGAAGACGCTGACAAAATGCAGAGTCTTCTGACCACTCTAAGCAACAATGCAAGCATGTTCGGGATGCGATTCTCTCCCTCGAAATGCAAAATGTTGCTTCAGGATTGGGTTACATCGACACCCGAACTAGTGATAGGGAGTGAAGTAGTTGAGTGTGTCGACCGCTTCACTTATCTTGGAAGTCTCATCAGCCCTTGTGGTTTGGTGTGTGACGAAATCTCAGCACGGATACAGAAGGCTCGACTAGCTTTTGCCAACTTGCGTCATTTATGGCGTAGGCGAGATATCCGTCTATCAACCAAAGGACGTGTTTACTGCGCAGCAGTTCGTTCCGTCCTACTTTATGGCAGTGAAACATGGCCGGTAAGAGTAGAGGATATCCGTAGGTTACTAGTATTTGATCATAGGTGTCTTCGAAACATTGCTCGTATATCATGGGACCATCGAGTAAGTAACACAGTTGTTAGGAAACGGGTACTAGGTAAGGATGGCAAATCAATTGATGAAGTAGTGAAACTTCATCAGTTGAGATGGCTGGGACACGTGTTACGTATGCCCTACGACCGACTGCCTCGACGTGCTATGTTCAGTGGTATAGGAGTAGGTTGGAAGAAAGCTAGGGGTGGCCAAACCAAAACATGGCACAAGTCCATGAAGTCACTGACAAGTGAACTGAGTCATGTTGGTAAGTGTAGACTACCTGGTTGGGGACCGCGAGATGACAGCAACCGATGGTTAGAGACCCTGAATGACATGGCTCAAAATCGTTTGCAATGGCGCAGGTGCATCCACTCTCTGTGTTCTCCCAAACTCTAATCTTCTGAATTCTTCATGTCCCTTTTTTCCTCTTTCCAAATTTATTTCACTGGATTATACTCTTTAAATAACATCTCCAAACCCTAATCTTCCCGATTACTGCTTATACTCTTATTACCTCTATCACTACGGGATTTGAATCGACAAGTCCATCTCTGTGCTAATGTGGTGTGGCAACTCGAACTGATGTACGTACGTACGAAGTTCTACGTTGTTACTGACTGACTGACTGAATCTTCTGAATTCTTCATGTCCCTTATTTTTTCTCTTTCCAAATTTATTTCACTGGATTATACTCCTTAAATAACATGTTCAAAGCCTAATCTTCCCGATTACCGTTTATATTTTTACTACCTCTGCCAATATGGGATTTGAATGGACAACTGCATCTCTGTGCAAATGTGGTATGGCAACTCGAACTGATGTACGTACGTACGAAGTTCTACGTTGTTACTGACTGACTAAGCTGTGAAATTATTGCTAGAACTAGGATTGTAACGGTAATTTACAAACCTGACTGCTAGCGATGTACTGAAACCATCACCAAATTGTCCTTAATTTAAGAAGTTTAAAGGGTACTGCGGTATAATGTTTGTTCGCGGTCATTATAAATGATAGGCATTTTCGTCAATGGGAAACGTAGTTTGTACATAGTGTCGATGACAACTACTTAACAATCCCTAATAGATTCAAGACACATGCTATCTATCCATTTTCAGAGAAACTGTCCCGATTATGAGTGATTCTGGATACCTTGGTACATCCAAGGGTAATGTGTAGTGGCTTTGCTTCGTTAATCGATCACCTCAATAACCGTTATATTATAAATCTCAATGGTTTTTGAAACCAGAAGCCAATGAAAATCGGCAACTACAGTTTATTAGCGGATAATGCAAATCACAAAGCTATAGGCACATCAAGCGAATTTGAAGCAGAGAGGCGATTAAGTATATGTAAGCAAACACAGGCAAATTTGTAGTCAAATCACACAAGGGCGCAGCAAGGCGAAGCAAAAGCTAATTATGAGATTTGAGCACATATATACATGAAGAGGAAGATGAATCATCGAGCAACATTTAAGATATTAACATTTTAGCTCGAGTGTCATGTGATCTAGTGATCATAACGGTACAAAGAAATATGGGGATCGCTACTGCTGTAATAACATTGTCTGTTAAGTAAGTTAATAAAAGGGCTTAACAAAAATTAACCATAATCGAAATTGGTTGTAGGGCTGTTGCTATAATTGAATTTGTAAATCCAACTAGCTCGTTTCGTATTTTTTGTCGATTAAACATAAATCTATCCTCTGTGCAAAAGTTCCAAACATCCTTTAGAAACTACGATCAGTTGTAGTCCACACAGCCTGGTACAAATGTGCAGTAAACAAATTCAACATACAACAGTCATCGAGAATATTTTCCAAAAAAGGATAAATAAGGGGAATAAATAGTTATGTAAGCTCAGATTTTAAGGGGAAGATAAGTGAATCCATATACACATAATTTCTATTTAAACATAAAAAATACGAGTTTCCATAAACGGATCCGTTTTCAGAGAGTTTATCATCAAGATATACAATCATGCAGTTATATAATATTTTAAGTATTCATTCAATGAACAGACATGATGATTTTATAAGATTATAATGCTAGATCGTATAATGTAAATAATAACACTCAAGGATTGTGTGCGCATAAAGAGCCGTTGAGAATTGATTAGTTGACACTGAACTGTAATTTGAATGAAGTAGGATAATTAAACATTGTTACGATAATACGAAATCAATGGGACGAAAAAAAGTAACAAAATAATGATAGTTTGAAGCCACCGTACGGACAGCGATAATGAGTACTTGTTTTATGCACACTGTTCGGACTTCATTTCACAGATGACAGGAGCTGGTGTTTTATAGAGTTTAATACGAAAAATCTTGTTGGATTTAGATGGATTATGTCAGCAACCCCAATCAACCTGTAGATCATCGAAGTGATTAGAACAGATTAAATGTTCAAGGATGTTACTCCTAACCGCTGTCCTCTTACATTTGTAGATCCACACTGGAATATGCTTTTGTATCTGAGTTTAGTAAAACCTCTGGCTACGGCTCGTATACCTTGTTGCACAAGAATAGGTGAACTGTTAGGTGCACATTGAGGCGACCAAGCGAGGGAGGTTATCCATCACAGATACGGAGAACGAATCTCTGCTGGTGAATGTTAATCGCCATTTCCTGGTTTGGTCGCTCGTTATCTTCTCTCAACCTATTCCTTCTGTCAACGTTGGACTTCAAAGCGGTTGGACATATGCAAATATTTCGCCGCCATTCCAACCAACAAAGTTTCGCTACCTCATCAACTTGACGTTGCCTCCTAGTACCTCGTACCTAACCTCAGCATTTTTCACTGTTGTTTTACGACAAACGATCAATGCCTCGATTTTATGACAAACCTGCAGCCTATGCATCCTTGTTTCTGTAGACCGCGTTTCACAGTGGACTTCTTTCCCCTTTGGTTAACAGAGGAACACCTACATTACAAGTTAGCTTTCTGATTCTATCCCTGTGAATGAATTAGTGTTCCAATCAAAACTAAGTGTGCGTAAAACATTAGATGAATGCAAAAATTTATGTAATTTTAAGGTTTCAGTGAATAGTGGTTGAGACGTTTCATAAACTATAAAGCTTCCTACATTACTGTGTCTTACTTCCTGGAGCAGAATTTTAATGGAAATTTTTCAGAGTAGTCAAGCCATGAGGTGACATTCGTTCATTTAGGCTTTACAGATAGTGTTACCAACAAAAAACACTATTTCGTTACGTTAAGTCAGTTGCATTGGTGCGAATATATCTAAGTACTGAGTACCTCACAATGTCATATCTTGAGGATCAGTAAACAAATAGTAAGTGTTGTTTTATTTTGTTGATGGACTTATGAAGATAACGCCTTTTACCAAGGTAATACGTTGTATTTTTATTTATTCAAAGGGATGCAGCCTGGGAATTGGAACCAGGGGCTTATGCAGATCTTGTTCCCATTAGCGAATGTTCCTCTAATGATGAACCACAAAGTAACGATACATCCACTACATCATCTCAGTGTGATTGCAATCGGTGGAGCCAAAAAAATGTCAGCCATGCGGCGCACGTTACACAGACTGCGGGTGTACGAGTTGAGTATGCATCATCCAGTGGATCACCGTCTACAGATCAGGAGCGTGTTCCAGTACTTTCACTTATATGGAACAACCAAAACTTCAAAAAACGTCGTGGAAGAAAGCCTTCATCTAGACGTCGGACGCAAATATCTCAAGCCGTTCCAAATACACCTGGACCAACTCGTGTTTCTCGTAGGCACACGTCCATTACAACACGAAGTATTCAGGATGATCACTCTCCTAATAGTGCTTTAAATGAGAGCAGACTACGTCAAGTAACCTTAGGATCTTTTCTTTCTGTTAGGACTCAGACTTCCCGGTAACTCCTTTTGACTTCAGATTTTCTTAGTTTGTCTCTATTTCCTAAATCTCTGACATTAAAAAGTTAAAGATTGAATCTGTACATACAAAAAATTCTATTTGTTTTAATAGATTTTTTATGAAAACAGTAGGGTAGTTGCGTTATGCATCATTTTATCGTTGTTAGTGCTTATGAATCTTTTAGGACTTAATGAAATACCATCAGTTTGGCAAACACGATTGTTTTGTAAGATTACATGGTAATTTTGTATTGATTACTTTTATTATGCTTTCCCTAAAGGCCTCAATTTCCGTACAGTTATAAATTTAAGGACTGAATTTTATTTGGAATCCTTTAATTTTACGAAGTAATAACCTGTGGTGGGGATAATTGATCTTTTTAAATCATTCAAGTATGATTAGGTAGGATAAATCTACTTTTGTAAACATTGGTTTATTTATTGAGTCCAAATCAGGACTTACGCATTTTACATTATTTATTTATTTAAGCGCACAAAATATAGTATAACTACCAGAGATAGAGTGACCACACAAAATGTGGGTAAGATCGTAAGGAAAAGGAAGTACATTTAAAAGGAAAGTATAGTTAACAAAATAATTAATAAGGACGGTATGTGGTAAAATATATAGTTCAGTCAATAGCACACACACGGAAATTCGGAATTCCTGTAGTTAAATTCTCCTTTCGCAGCAGGATCGCCGTTCGTCGCTGTAACTCCAACCAAGGAGTCGCAATCGACTAACAGATGTCAATCCTATACTGACTTTCACATTACGGTGCCAAGCCATAAACTGACTACCGCTTTTTCAACCACTCCTAGTGTCATCAATCAACGTGCGCTGGGGTGACATTCGTAACACTTTCAAGTCACCGAATCTGGTTTTTAGGGGTTGGTGACATCAAGTGGATTTTCATCGCGTTACTAATGTGTTGCAATTCCTCAGAGATGACGATAATCAGACACAGAGTCATCCAGCTCCCTAACTCGGAAAGGTTAGACTTTGTAAACAGGACGAAACTGTTCTCACCGACGCGTTCTAGGCCTGACGTTTTGTAGCCGAACTAAAATCACGATGACTTCAAAAATGTCCAAGATTGGCATAAGTCCTAATCTCTTTAGTCAACCAACTACCAACACAAATCTACCTAGATACCGGGACTTCCAATTACTTACCACCAAGGGTGAGTGCAGACAGGCTCATGCCAGTCTTGTAGAAGTACCTTTTACTTAGGAGGTACAAGGTTCATACAATACCTGAGGACACTGATTGTCGACCCATTAAATGCAATTTGTATAACTTTGATATGATTGCATGTCAAGACAATATTATCTGCATACTAAAGATAGAAAAGTCTTTCTTCAAGTAACAAATCTACACCACACCTACCCACTTCCATCAGGTGTTTCCAGTATGCGGTCGATGAGAAAGTTGACTGGATAACCCTGCCTAACCCCATTGCTTAAACGGAGAGATGGTTGTATGCCCTCGCTCTGCCTGTGGTGTTGATATATAGAAACTACGAATTTTTCATAAACTTTTCCAACACATCCTTCGACAAAATAGCAGTTATGTCTTGATATCAAGAAACATAACGATCTTTGGTCCTCATGTATGATGCTCTACCATTTGGTGGGAGGTGAACACATAATCAATACTTCTATGGCTAGAACGCGCGTTCTCCATGCGAATCAATCTCCCTCCGGTTTTGAACTATCTGCAGAATATGATAGAAGCTAATAGTTTGGACATGGTCGGAAGTAGATTTATACCGCCTAAAATTGTTGCCTAGATAACGTAGACCCTGTTTATAAATAAGGACTGTCGCTTCATTTTAAGATAACTGCTCCCTAAGTTTGTTATCATCCTTAGGAAGTAAATTGTCTTGGTCAGGTGACTCATTGGGTTTCACAAGTAAAGGTTTCTGTGAATCCCCGTCTCGTTAGCCGGATTGGCTGTAACTGGCCAGGGAGGGCTGAACAAACTGGTTGACGTTGCCGCCACAGTAGATTAGTTGGTTTGTTTCTCGAAGGACCCCGTCCCCTTTGTTAATCAGTGTTGAAGTAAATTAGGTATCATATTCGCGCTGAATAAAAGTATACTCATTATGAAGTACCTGTGTGAATCTACGTCATAGCAGTTACTTGGTCATTTAAGTTACTTCAAACTTACTGCTCATAAGGAATACTCAGGAGTTGTATAATTTATGATACCACAGGCATTTTGTATTTATCGAAAAAGTTCAGAACACATTTCAGAAATAGCTAGGAAAGTTATTTAACCGTGAGTGGTATCTGAAAGGCTGTGGAAACAGCAGTGTTCGTCAGGACTTATCCACTTCCCCAATTTTACTTTTGTAATAGACATGCTTTTAGATATAACACTTTCATCGTCTGACATTTCTTTAGTTGATCTTCCATCAGGAGATCCACTTGTTGACGCGAGTGATATAGTTCTGTTCGATGAAGACGCTGACGAAATGTAGTCTTCCGACCACCTTAAGCAGCAATGAAAACATGTTTAAGATGCGATCTACCTATCCAAATGCAAAATGCTACTTCAGGATGAACTTGCGTCAACGCCCAAATTAATAGTAGAGAGTGAAGTGGTCGAACCCACTTACCGCTTCAGTTCTGACATTTGAAGAAATGCCGACTAGCTTTTGTCAACGTGGGTCACCGGTGGTATGGGCGAGATATCCGTCTCACGATCAGTCTGCCTTGTTCTATTTTATGGATGTGTCCACTAAGGATAGAAGATATACGTGGGTTACTGGCATTCGCTCATAGGTGTCGTCGACAAAGTGCTCATGTATTTTGGAACCACGGAGCGAGCAATGTGTAGATTAGGGATAGGGTACTAGGTAAGGACGGCAAATCGAGTGAAGGTGATCTTAACGTATCTCCAATAACTGCTTATCTCGACGGGCGATATTGTTTGGTGGAGTAGGCTGAAATGAAGCCAAGAGCGGCAAGACACGGCTTTGGTTAACGAAGTCAACGATAGTTGGACTGAGCAATGATAAGAAGTGTAGGCTACCTCGAATAACATGGCTCAAAATCGTTTGCAATAGGGCACACGAATACACTCTTTGTCTTTCCCCAAATTCTAAGCTTTTGAATTGCTCATAAATCTTGTTTTTATTCCATTAATTTATATTCTCTCGAATCATATCTTCGATGCTTAATCTTTCCTATTACCACCGATACTATTGCTACCCCTAGTATTACGGGATCTAACCTGACAATCTCATCTCTCTGTGCTAACGGGATGTGGGAACTTGGGTCAATGTACATACATACCAGGTTCTATTGTGACTGATTTAGTATTTATTAGTTTTGTTTATCACGTTTAATAAGTCATAATACAGTGCAAGTTATAAGTATGATGGCAATTAATTGTGAACAATAATATTATGTCAGTTATTAAATTAGTCGACATCTTTCCAAAAAAAGTTTCTACGATTATTAAAAGTGTACCTTATGGGTCTTGAATCTTACTAATACCTCCACAATATCAATTTATTGGTAATGAAGCATTGTTGGTGCCATATTGTCAGAATTTATGTTCTATAAATGTTTTTAGTTAAGATTTAGTTGTCACGGGTCATATTGCGGGCTAGTTAACTGTCTTCCTAGTTAAAGTGATATGTATACGATTTGATGAATTGCTTTAAATGGAGCATTTTATTCATAATTTGGTTTTTATAGTTAGGGAAAAACTAGTTTTTACGGTTTAGTAACCTGATTTTAGTGTCAGAAATTCATCTTAAACTGGCTCATGTACAAAATTGTGACTTTCAATCAATTCTCGCATGTTTACTAAGTGTAGTCACTATATTTGCTTCCTCGTTGTCGTCATTTTGGCGTGGAAAATGCTGAGTGAATTAGATAATTTTGAGTGCAGGTGTTTTATAGAAAAACCTATCTACATATTGGTATGCAATAGATTTGGGGTAATTTTTTCAGGTTGAAAGGGAAAAACTGTCACCTTGATGATAGCAGTGAGTTGCCACTTCCTTCAGAAATAATGATTCATTCTGGTTGTCTTGAGATTTGTATCTCTTTCCTTTTGATGACTATATATTTAATCTGTTACGTATGCCCAACGACCGACTGCCTCGACGTGCTATATTCAGTGGTATAGGAGTAGGTTCGAAGAAAGCTAGGTGCGGCCAAACCAAAACATGGCACAAGTCCATGAAGTCACTGACAAGTGAACTGAGTCATGTTGGTAGGTGTAGACTACCTGGTTGGGGACCGCGAGGTGATAGCAACCGATGGTTAGAGACCCTGAATGACATGGCTCAAAATCGTTTGCAATGGCGCAGGTGCATCCACTCTCTGTGTTCTCCAAATTCTAATCTTCTGAATTCTTCATGTCCCTTTTTTCCTCTTTCCAGATTTATTTCACTGGATTATACTCTTTAAATAACATCTCCAAACCCTAATCTTCCCGATTACTGCTTATACTCTTATTACCTCTATCACTACGGGATTTGAATCGACAACTGTATCTCTGTACTAATGTGGTGTGGCAACTCGAACTGATGCACGTACGTACGAAGTTCTACATTGTTACTGACTGACTGACTGATATATTTGATCAACCGTTTTTGCCCCACAATAATATACTTCTTTAAGCTCACTTTATTAATGATGTATTGGCCTGAAAGAGCGGTGAATGACACGCGAAACCTTACTCCTAGTTGCAAACCTGCTGACATACAGTTGTGATTTCAGAAGACTAATAAGATTACGAAAACACTATCACATTCGTAATGTAGTTTACACTTTTTTAGGACGACACCGTTTTTTCTGTTGTCTTTTCATTTTTATTTGTCTTTTGCGTTCTTTTTTACTTAGCCACACTGGGTAGGTTCCATGTTCATTACACAGTATTTTTGGCAAGCTTTTGGGAACAACTAGAACGTTCAAATAAAGCATATTGTAATCTTACTATCCATGTGATTTGAAGTTGAGTCAACCAACTGTTCGGAAGAGACTGGATTTTCTTCACTTTTCTTGGTAGATTTTATTAACTGATCCTTGATTTTCTTAAAGCTACGTCTACGTCTAATCGCACGAAACCGTCTTTTTGATTTACTTCGAATACTTTTGGTCATTATAAACAGATCCTTTGATTGCCAGGTAGTCCAAAAATGTATGTCACAACTTGAAACGAAGTTTTAGCTTGTTTTCTAGATAATTTGGGTACTATCAAGCTGACTGCGAAGGATAATTAGGTATTGAAATGGTCGGAATGTACTTGTTTAAGACGAATATCTGAAGAGGAAATGTAGAGTAAACTCAGCACATACTACAAAACTGAGATGATGTGACAATCAACAAGAATTGATACAACAATAAAATCAAATCCAGTACAGTTACTTTTCAGAAAAGAATTAACGATATTTTATGCTTTGTGAAGCATCATGGAAAACATTCATAAGCAAGAACAACGAATATAGGAGTATGTGACAGTGAGAAACGATTGGAGCCGTGAGATAACATTTTTTAAATAGCATTTTTAATTATCTGGTCACATTCGTTTTACTTTAACTGTTTTTTTCTCGCCACAGTTTACATCATTTCTTAAACCCTGACTTGCCCCCAAATGCCCTGGTACGGCCGAGAGTGGGGAGAGTACGCTCTCCTTCTCGAAATGCTCTCACATGGCCACGCGTATTTAGCCTCTGCCAAGGAAGTCCTACTAACTGCCTTCTCGTGGTGGGGGTGTTGTTTACGAAGATGAGAGGATGAAAAGCGAATGTCCGGCGCTTTAACCGGATTCCAAACCAATGGTGCACATGGGCTCCAGTATCCTGAGGGAACAAATGGCATATGAACCAATCGTTGGTCACCGGCTTCCATGGGACTGCATCTCCTTACGACGCTCCACTGCCTTGTGGATCAGACCTTCAGGTGGAAGGCTCGGGGCGTGGCCCCCTAGGAAAACCACCTGCTTCGGTTTGGGCACCCGGGCAGCCCACAGCCCTCACAAATATCGAATGAGATTTGTGTGGCGCATATGTATTTGGTGCCTCCTTGTACCAATATCTATGTGTTAAAATAAATAAATAAAACCCTGACTCAGTTAATCTAACTTGAAATATTACATCACTGGTCTAAAACTTCCATATTTAGTAACCCAAAACTTGCTACTCTGCTGAGCTTCAAATTAGCAGTAATGAACGTGTGGCCTAATAGCAGGGGCAAAATTTTAAACCGTCAAACTAGGTTGCAGTAATTTTAGTTATACATTAGTCCTTGAATCTACATAACAAATGTGAATAACCCTAACAATATGAGATAGGCTTTTTGAATGTTCCAATTTTAAATACTTAGGTATTAGTGACATTTATCACAGTCCGCACAAAAGAAAGATTATAACGGGAATCAGCATATCTGAAATAAACAAAGCACCCTCTCCCAAATATGAGCCTTGAGAATACAGTTTACGTAAGTGGCTGGTTTTTTATTTCTACCTTATTTCTCTCAAGTGTCACACTATGTTTGATACTTCTCACAGTGCATATGCACTGGTAAATTACAACAATTAGAAGCCTGTGTCTCTAATAACACGAAACGTAATAAGTTGAAAGAGATCAGTATGGACAGAAACTTATAGAACCACCAAATATATCTTTGAGTGGTGAAAGAAATGGACAATAAATTATAAATATGCGCCTTGATGGATCACCAAGAGCATTTAGTGAATGACTACATTTCAGGAAGTTTTTTCTCCAATAGATTACTGGTATCAAAATTTATAGGTTTCGTTAGAAGTTCATCTAGTGGTCGGTTTCTAAAATAGTTTTACTCAGAACGCCAATAGATATTTGGACAGTCGATTTTCCATGAGTTGTTTTCATTAAATTTACTTGTCGTGCAAAATCGATATTAGATTCAGATTTGTGTAGTAAGGACAGAAGGCCTACGGCCTGTGTTATTCCTTTTCTAGTATGCTTCTGTGAGTGTCCAGTCTTCTCTTGAAAGAGTCAATTGAAGGTGCGGATACCACTGCTTCAGGCAGCAGGTTCCAAGTATTGATGACTCGGTGTGAAAACCTGTATACCACGGGTATTTTGTTCGTTCTTGGCTTTTCTACTCGCCTGCTATGTCCTCTGAGGTGTCCCGATCTAGTGGGAAGGAAGAGAGAGAATAAGTTAGGTCCGAAATCATTTCTTAGTATTCTGTACATCAATATTAGATCTCCCCTTAGTCTGCGATAGGACAGAGTAAAGAGGTTCAGTTTTTCAAGCCGCTCTTTATATGACAAACCCCGGAGTTCCGGAATTGCACGCGTAGCTGCCCTCTGTACCTTTTCTAGTATGTCTGAGTCACCTTTTAAACAGGGGCTTGCAGCCTGAACACAGTTCTCTAACTTAGTTCTCACTAAGGATGTGTATAATGTGGTGAACATGGTAGTATCAAGCTTAGTGAATGTCCTTTTTAAAGCCCAGAGGGTTCGAAACCCCTTAACTGCGACCTCCCGGCAATGGGCCGTGGTCTTAAGATCATTGCTCACTGTCACCCCTAGGTCCTTATGAGACCGGACTACGAGTAATGACACATCCTCTATGTTGTACGTATTAACCTTTGAATCCCCCAAGTGCATGTAGACACACTTTTCCGAGTTGATAGGCATTAGCCACTCTTTAGACCAGTTTATCATATTATTTAAGTCCGCCTGAAGAGTAAATGCGCCTTTGTCTCCAGTTATAACTCGCCAAATTTTTACATCGTCAGCGTATAATAACATTGGAGACTGTACTATACTTGTAAGATCATTAACGTACATTATAAAAAGTAAAGGACCTAGGACGGAACCTTGGGGTACTCCACTAAGTACTGGTCTCCAGATGGAGCACTTGGAATTTATTCTTACTTTTTGCCTACGACCTACTAGGAAATCCTTAATCCATTTTAAAAGAGGTCCGGCAATACCAAGGTTTGCCAACTTCAATAGCAGTCTATTAGTTGGCACCTTGTCAAAAGCCTTACTGAAGTCTATGTAGACAACGTCCACTGAGTTTCCATTGTCTAGCGCATTAATCCAGAGCTCCCTAGCTATAAGGAGGTTCGTTGTACAGGATAGACCCTTTCTAAAACCATGTTGTGCCATGTTCAGCAAGTTATTGGTTTCCATAAATACTGTTATGGTCCGTTTGATTATCCTTTCCAGTATTTTAATTACAACACTGGTGAGGCTTACGGGTCTGTAATTTGATGGAACTTGTTGTAGACCAGTTTTATGTATGGGAGTGACGATTGCGTCCTTTCAGTCCATAGGTAACACACCTTGGTCAAGTGACATTTTGAATATCACAGTCAGTGGGGCTGCGATATATTCGGCAATATGTCTCAAGATTTTAGGGTGTAGTTCATCTGGTCCTGTTGACTTCTCCATGTTTAGGGTGCTAAGAGCCTTAAGCACATCGTTTTGGTCGAAGTCCACGGTGAGCAGCTAGTTTGTTGACTCTGTAATTGGGTCTGGTTCTTTCTCTAGAGGAGGTTCCTGAGTGAAAACTGCCCCAAAGTAGTCAGCCATAATCTCAGCTTTTTCCTGATCTTCCTCTATCATTTCAGATTCACTTCCTACTTTAATTAGGTTGGGAATCCAGTGATGAATCCTTGTTCTGTAGTTTATGTACGAGAATATCCTCTTGGGCTGCTTGAGTGCAGATTCTGCCAGCTGCATTTCATATTTTCTTTGCGCTTCCCGAATTTTAGTTATACACTCGTTTCTTATCGATCTGTAGTGTTCCATCGTACCTGCTGTGCCAAGGCGGATGGCAACATCCCAGCATTTCTTCTTTTGTCTTAGTAAGCGACGAATATCCCGCCCTAACCAGGGATGTCCGTGCTTCTTTTTCTTTGGGACAGTCCAGGGTATATATGGTTGAGTTACCCGATTGTATAACTGCCTGAATAGAGTCCATGCCTCTTGTACTGATGCCTTTGAGTCAATTTCCCAGTTCTCAGCCGATGCTGCGGAGTTAATTGCCTGCATATCTGCCTTCCATATGTTAGGACGGGCCGGCGCAATTGTTTGAGAAGCAATTTCAGCCATGAATTTGAATAAGATGACTGCATGGTCACTTCTCCCAAGTGGTGGGAGAAAAGCCGTTTGACCAACGTCATCACCGTGTGTGAAGACTAAATCTAAAAGAGAGGAAGAGTTTCTTAAGTCGTATCTTGTGGGATCTCTAATGTGTTGGAATAATGCTAGTTCAATCGAGGTTTCTAACAGTTTGGAGTCGAACGACGATATAGATGACTCTACTTCTAAGTTAACCCAGTTTATATATGGTGCATTAAAGTCGCCTACTACAAGGCTTTTACCGTTGTTACACCAGGACTTAAGTTTACTGAGGAGAAAATCATCTGCTACACATTCTGGACTGCGATAAACTACAACTACTTCAATATCTTGCCTTCGGCATTTCAACTTACATCTCACCAGTTCACATGTCCCTGAAACATGTGCTACTGTCTCAGCTAATCTTATGGTTAGGGTACTTTTCGTGTACACAATAACCCCGCCTCCCCTTCGGTTTAATCTATCAGCCCTACTGGTTATGAAACCGGTCAATTGGATTTCACTATCTAATACTTCTGACGTTAACCAAGTTTCCGAGACAGCGATAACGTCCGGTTTTTCTTTATCCACCACTGACTTCAGCTCCGCCATTTTATTTAGTAGGCTGCGAGCATTTGTTTAACACACTTTTAAGTCTGTGGAGAGCTTTCCCTTGCCACCCAGAGTGGCTTGGGGGTCGTTTTGCTCCGAACTTTTACAATCTGAAAACCCTTAAGAACGAGGTTTCTTTCACCGTTTCGGCGACGCTCGTTTATTTCCGCTTCTGCAGCTCTTCTCTTAATACGATCAGCTAGGCTGAGGTCCTCATGGACATATATTCCGGATCCAATCAGTTTACGTGAATTACTTAGAACCAGGTTCCTTTCTTCCACCGTGTTGAATGTAACCTTTAGGAGGCGGTTTTTCTGAGGACTTTCGGAATCCACCTGTTTTCCTATTCTATAAAGCTTACAAATACTAACTCCTGAAACTGTATCTGGGAGTAGTTTACTTAATGATGTCTTAGTATGATTGAGATCATGTTCAAATCTTGCCTTTGGTTCAGTGTCTGAAGATTCTCTTATCT